CCCTCCTTCCCGCCATTCCAAAAGATTCAAGGAAACCAATGAACTTACGAAAAGAACGGAGGATTTTTTTATTTTTTATTTTTTTTTTGGTCGGAGGAATTTGTACTCTTTTTTTTTTTTTTAAACGGAGAGCATTTCTTTTTTTTTTTGGATCACTGCTTGCAATCATTAAATAAATAAAAAAAATGGAAAAAAAGGCAATGAACGAACAAAGAGAACGGAGGGGGAGGTAGCAGCGATAGGGAGAAAAGCAGGAGGAGGAGGAGGAGGAGGAGGAAGGGAGAGCTGGTAGCAGCGAAACTCACCCGTACTGGCTTATGGCGCGCTCGATGATGCCTATAGCACTCTGGAACTTCAGCACCAACTCGGCATCGGCGGTCATTCTCATCACCTCGAAGACCTCCATCCCGACTACCGACAGGCAAGGGGAAAAAAAAAAAAAAAAAAAAATCCAAAGTGAAAATACACCTCCTGTGAGAAAAAAAGATGGTGCTGCCGTAAAAAAAAAATCCAAAGGGTATATTAGAAAGAAGGAGAGAGTAGAGATAGGGACGTAGGGATAGCAGGTGGAAGGAAGTGAGCGCGAGTCTGAAAATAGAGCGAGGGGAGCGCGAGCGCACGCGTGCGTGCTGGCCTGCGAGCGAGGCAGCGCGAGCGCGCGTGCGCGCGCGTGCAACAGAAGCGGGGGGAAGAGAGAGAGAGAGAGAGAGAGAGAGAGAGGGGAGAGAGAAAGAGAGGAGAGAGAGAGAGAGAGAGAGAGGCCAGTTACGTAGAAAGAGCAGAGGAATGAGAAGAGATGGACATGAATGGGGGGACAGGACAAGTAGATGGAAGAAAATTAAGCGAGAGGGATAGGCAAGGGGAGGAGGAGGGGGGGAGGAGAAGGGGCGTAGACGGGAGGGGAAATCAGTGGGGGGAAGTATGAGGAGGGGTGTCAATATCTCGTGTCAGGTTGTGGCAGGGGGCGATGGCGATTGCTTTGCACGTGAAGGACAGACAGTCTTAAAAGAAGAAGGAAGGAAAGATCACGATGACCACAACGAAGAACAGAGAGAGCCACAGTGCAAAGAGCAGCGCGAAAGGTGTGAACAGAGGAAAGGGGGAAGAGAGGAGGGTAAGGGGGAGAGGAGGCGGGGATGGGGGGAGGACAACGGGTAGGTAGGTGTAGGTACACCCACCCAAAGAAGAGCAGTAGATTCAGGCGCTTTATGCCGCAAATGCCGGCCGCGACGGCGGCTCCGGATCCCGTTAGATTTTGGATTTGCTGGCCTTTTTTAAGGCAATTGGCTGCTTTCACACTTACGCGGGCGGCTGGACTGGAGATCTGCGACACCGACCGATGATCGAAGCTCATCAACGGCCGGCGGCGATGGCAGTGGCTATGCCGAAGAGAAAGGCAAAAAAGACAAATAGCCGAGTGAGCACCACGTGATGACGATGGCCCGCGCGCATCTTCAGGAACAAAATGTCCCAGTGCCAGGGCCAGGGCCAGGGTGCATCCGTCGCTCTGGCTATGTCGGCTCTGGCTATGTCCGCTCTAGCACTTCGCCATCGCCATCGCCATCGCCATCGTCAACCCGCCGCCGTTCTGCTCACACACCTATCTCAAACGGGTTTAGGTAGCTGGTGTTGTGGGATAGGACATCTGCTGGTGGGGGGGGGGGGGGGGGGGGGGGGGGGGGCGTTCTGGGACTCGCTCCACTACATCACCAGATGCACAAAAGAGAACAAAAGACAAGGAATATGGCACTGTATCTTCCCATGGTGTACTGTAATATGCGTTCTCGTTTTGCGCATTTCGCGTGGAGTGGAGTGGAGTGGAGTGAAGAGAGGCCCTCTGTGTGTGTGTGCTATGGCAGCCTGGCTGAGGATACGCTCTTGTTTCGGTGCCGAGCCTGGGAGGCTCGGATCAGCCTCGTCTAACTGAATGCACCTGGTCTTCGCTGCCGGAACTGGGAGGCTCGGATCAGCTTCGTCAAAAAAAATTATATATATTTTTTTTTATTATTTTTTTTTTTTGCTTCGTCAAATTGGATGCACCTGGTCTTAGCTACCGGAACTGGGAGGCTCGGATCAGCTTCGTCAAACTGAATGCACCTGGTCTTAGCTGCCGGAACTGGGAGGCTCGGATCAGCTTCGTCAAACTGAATGCACACCGGGTCGTCTATCCGATTTGGCGGGGAAGATTTTGGCGGGTAAGAGCGAGGGCCCAATGAGGGAGCTACACGTAGCTCCACCACCTTCCCTCGAGTAGAACGCGCCGCGGGTTCTATTCGGGGCAAAAGGTAGAGGGGGGCGTTACGAAAAGGCGGCGGCCTTGAGATGTTGGCCCTCGCTCCACCACTCATCAACCAAATGCGAAAAAGACGAAAAAAGAACAAAAACAAATGGACAGATATAGCACCAGGTCCGAGGTCCCACTAGCAAAGAGGATCGGATCGAATGCCTGAATCTGGATGTGTTTTATGCAGAGATGCAGAAACGCAGTTCAATCTCGATTTCCTGCATATCTCCACAAACTCGCCCAGATTCAGGCGTCCGATCTGATCCTCTTGTCTTGTGGGACCACGCCCCAGCTGGTCCACAAGCGATAACTTCCGCAATTTTGGCGCCCACGAGAAAGCGCCCTCAGCTCGAGGTGGTCTTACCATCGGTGCGGAAGCAGACACCCACCCAACGGCTGGCAGAACGAATATTTCGCACAAAATTACGTAATTGCACAAAATTACGTAAAGGGAATATTTGTGCAATACCCCTGAAAGTTTAGGTATACGCTAAACTACTGCTGACAGATGTTGGTTAGAATACCCCTTCGGAAATGCCGAGCCTACGGGACGGACGGACCCCACAGCTGCTCCGAAAGTTTCCGGCTTTCCCACTTGTGGTGTAGGACATCCGTCGCCAACGGAGAGGTCAGCACTGTGCACTCAGTGACTGGTCTGTAGTGTGGCCCACTGCGTCCATTGTTTTTTGCTTTTTGTTCGAGATCCCACAGTGCTCCGAAGCCGTAGGCGGCGCCGTCGAGTTCGGAGGTAAGTGGAAACGTTTGTTGTCCGTGGGAAGAGCCATTTCGAAGAAGCGCCCAACGAACTTCGCCGTGGTCTGCGTCCAAGCTGCGAAGTAAACGGGATAGTGGAGTCCTGTTTTTCTTTTACGGGCCGCGTGGCGCGGGAGCAGCTTTTTCGGTAATTTTACGGATTCCGTTTCCGTATGTAGTGTGGGATCAGACCCTAAGTGTGGTCCAATTCGCAGCCCGTCAAGGTTGCGTTTTCCCCCCCTGAGACATTTCAACGTTCAACGTCATTTCAACGTCGTGGTCGTCAGGAGGGTGGGCATTTTGAGGTTTTGGGGCCTTGCAAGGGCCAGGACCGCGTAGGACCGGTAGCTGCGCGGAGGAGGCTGAGGAGGCCGCGGTCCTGAAGCCTTTTTCGAAATTGAAACGGTGCGGGTGCACTTTTCTCGAATACCACAGTTTCCTCGAATAGAAAATGTACAGGTTGTATTCGAATACAACTGTACCCTTTCTATTCTAATCGGATTTCGAAAATAAAAACTCTTGTATTCCGATAAAATTACTTCTTCTTTTTGTTGGAGGTCAGCGCCTGCCCTCTTGCGCCCCGCCACTGACATGTTGCATGCTGCAGCTCTCTCTCTCTCTCTCTCTCTCTCTCTCTCTCTCTCTCTCTCTCTCTCTCTCTCTCTCTCTC